AAGTTTTTACTTTGGTACTATAGTTAACTATAGTAAACTATAGTTAACTATAGTTTACTATAGTATTTTTTTGTTAGGGACAGCTTAGTCATCATTCAGTGGGGTATATCAGTTATCATTCAGTTATCTCTCTATGTCCTTTCCATCGCCTTTCAGAAACCTTTCAGTTAAATTTTAGTCTTCATTCAAGAATTTTCATCAGCTTTTCATTAGTACACTAGAAACAATTTATAATGCACTACTCAGTATTTTCATCTACAAATACGACATTTGCCTCATCGACACGATTAAATCTGAATTGCCGTCCTCCTTATACTGTTGAATTTGTCGATGTCTTTATTTCAATACAAAATGGCCATACTTATTTTCAAAAGCAGATTGCACACCTTTTGTGCGCTGATATAAGGTTGGCGATTACTGATGATAGTCAGAGAGTTTGCAACAGCGACGGTGACCCTTTCTCTCAAAAAATGCCAAGGGAAATGTTTAACATGTCGTGTAGTAGTCACATAGTTCTTTGGCATCCATACCCTGTCTATCCCACTGTAGGTTGGCAAAATTTTATGATACAATCTTGCAATTGTAGTGGTGTCTATTAATGTCGTGTTTACTCAAAGAATTTTTACATTTCCTTAATGTTATCACAGTACTTTTTAACCAATTGAAACAACAATAGCTCCTCGATAACAGATGATCTTGGTGTCCCAATTATATTTCTACACATTATTGATAATATTCCTACTCTGTATTTCTAAGTCACCGTGGCGTAATTGATGAAGTAACAGACTTTCAAAGGGAGGAGTCTAGTTCGACATGACTGTCAAATATGGTGACCAATCTAGATTCAATACAGAATGGAATGGAGTATACTATGTCATTTCAAGTAATAATAAGGCATGTGGTAATATACAAGCTCTTTAAAATGAATTCAGTTTAAAAAGGTATATATTTGTTCAAGTATATATTCCGTTGATTTCTTTTTTTTTCTTCTATTTTTAACTTCTTAACTGGTGATTTCAAATGGTACTATATTTTCTATCTAAAAGCTAATAAATCTTTGTGAACAAATAAAATGTCAAAATTATGATGGAAAATCTCCAGTGAAGATACATCGAGAACTTAAAATTTTCTATAGACTAAAAAATAATTCTTTTTATAGTAGCAGTGTCATTATTTTTTTTATTTATGATAGAATGGGCCATTCCTTTTATTTTTTTTTTCTTTATTAAAACAACCTGTCTTTTCAATCGTGGTGAAATTGTACTTTTAAAAAATAATAGCAACAAAAAGCGTTTTTGCCCATAACATGTTTGTTTCATTTTTATGGAAGATCCTCCTTCCCAAAGAAATGTTTTAGATAAAAGAATGAAGACTGACTTATTGAGCCTAAAAAGTATTTCTAAAGTTTTCAATTGAAGTTTTCTTACAGATTTTAAGGATTATTACCTTTTATTTAAAAAAAAAAAACAAAAAAAAAACAGGAATTTAAATCCATTCATTCATCAATACCCTTGATACCACACAGAGAAACTGCAAATTTCGTACTCCCTCAGTCAAAATGGCATCTTGAGATAATTGTGCACTTGACACGAAAACTGGAAATCAGGTATGTAAAATATGCTAACATATGATAACAAGCAGTTATTTTTCAGATAAATTACTAAAAAGCAATGGTGATAAAATTATTAGTTCATACTTTGCCCAAAGGAAACGTCATTTAATAAGAAGGTCAGATCAATGATATCCTAAGGAATTTTAGGAAAATTTTTATTTTTACTTGTTTTTCATTTTTAAGCTTTTGATTTGAGATTACGTCTGTTTGCAGGAAATCAGCTTTAAATCAGTACAAATTTTATTGCAAAGCATTGATGTAGACAAGACTTTATGTAGGTGGACGACGAAGCTTTAAATTATTTCATCATGTTCCCTTCCAATTACATTTATTGAGTTCTTGCGTTGAATTTAAATTTAATCTTTCACAAGTCAGTGCGCTAGAAAATCGCAGTCTGTTGATTCTTTTCAGAGAGATATATGAGTGTTAAAACATATTAACCATATCTGTCAAGTTTAAATATGACACAGCAAGAATTTGGGTTCTATCTAATAGATGTAATATTTCTTGCAAAATTCATGAATATTGAATGATTAAACCTGGTTTGACTATTTCCCTCCATTTTAGAACTGTAAAGACAATGTATTGATCAAATATTATTTGAAATGATGGTAATCTCCAAACAATTTCGTACAATTTTTTTTCTATTTTTATTGCTGTGCATGTTTATTTGGTTTTTTAAAGGTTTTATTGATTTATAAATAATAAACCTAATGAGGCATAGAAAAAGTGTAGTACAAATATGAAATCTATTAGGAATATTATCATTTAAAGTAATTAAATGGCTTCTTAAGCTTTGGTTACAAAACGATTTTATCTTTCAAAAGGAAGAATAATTGATATCTCTCACTCTCTCTGACAGTTCAGGGAAAAGTCTTCATGCCAGATTTAAGTAGAGAAAGGCTTATTAATGTTTTGAATATATGTAATGCCCTATAAAGGCAACTACCATAAAATATCATGTATTAACTAGGCAATCATCCACAAAAGATTATATCTCAGATGTTTCATGAATATCAACCGCTAAAGAAAGCACACAAGGCTTTATTCCACGAGTAATGGTTCATTTGACATGTATGCATTATCACAGTCCATCAATTAATTCTCAAGAGTTAAACAATTCTGAGACTTTTATTCTTCAATGCTCTTGTTAATAAAAATATGAAGAGAAAAGAATGAAGGTTGAGTATAATACGATTTATGAAGTGCCACATATTTATTGATCTGCTACATTCTACGTTCACACACACACACTTTCTCAAGAAAAAATGCATACGTTAGTGTAAGTGATCAAAATCCTGCTTGGCATGCTATCAAATAAAGTTCAGTGAACATTCGTTTTCGATTCCAAAAGATTTGTCACACTTTTTAAATGACATAACTACTTACGATTAAAGTGATTTAACAGTCTGAGTTTACCAGATATGAAATTTTGAAAAAAAGACGTGTTTCGTCATGTTGAAGCGAACTTAAAAAAAAGTCATGTGTGTTTAACAGGGAATTTCTGTATTTTTGTTAGGGAAGAATTTCAAGATAATAGATCTATAGCGGTGATATTTGTTTTGGTTTAATTATTGTTTAATCATACATCGACCGAAAAGAGACCAAACTGGCTTTTAAAACAGCTAATCAAGTTAAAGTCCTTAGAAACAAGCATAATGTCAAACAGAACGTACAAATTTTAAGGCTATAGTACTTTCCTTATTTTACGCGAGTACTTAATATCGCAAAATCACTCATAAACTTCAAACTACATTATGAATTCGCCAATGGCATGCTGTTGAAGATATTTACATGTATTTCAGCAGTATAAAAATATTATTGCGAACATTTTCATTCGCAATTGGTGATTCTCATGAAATTATGCCACAATAAATTCCTCGCTTATATTCAAAAATCCACAGTATGTAATAGATTGAAATGTTTTACTCACCTACCGTTAATATCTAAATATAGTAACATTTTTTCACCATTTCTCTAGACAGTATCGTCACTGTTATGATAGAATACGTCTGTTTTCCATGAAAAACAATCTGTGATTTTAATCAGTTCCGGTGAATTTGTATTTTTATTAAAAAAAAAAAAAAAAAAAAAAAACAATTAACAAGAAGATTTCAGTTTTTTCTTTTGTTTTCTATGTAAGACCCACACCTCCATCCAAAGAAAACAAAATCATGTTTAATAAAATTATATAATAGTGTTGTACTTTGCATGCACTATGCCTAAATAGCTTTCACCGCAAGTATTTAAAATTTAGCTGTTTTACTGGTAAGGTACTAAGAAACAGGAAACAAATATGGTGTGATCTGTATCATCCTGTGCCCGAAAAAAAAAAAAGAATATATATTAAATAATCTCAGATATGTGTCTTACTATTGAATTGCCAGCAAAAATCAAAGTTCTACTTGCTTTTTGCTTTTGTATCCTTACTTACGTTTTGACATTATATGTGCTTCTAGAACTCGTATGATCTTTTGAGCAATACAAATTTATTTTTACTTAAAAATATTCTTTCAGTAAAAAATAAAAGAAGACAGAGAAGCGAAGCTTTACGAATTTTAGTCGTGTCCCATTCCCACAATTCACTTTGTTTAGATTATATCTTAGATAAAAGATATAGTAAACCACATTGTAGCTACATTAAGGTTCATCAGCTTTTTGATAAGTGAGATAACTCTAACTTGCATAACTAGCAGTAATTGTCAAGTAGAAGGACCATTACATCCAATTGTTGTCCTGCATGGTAGACTGATGTTGTTTGCATATTAATTTTTGATTACATATATTTCTTTCAAAAAAAAAAAATAAATAAATAAATAAATTAGATATGAGAAAACTTTTTGACTGAAAATATGGACGACGGAAATAGGATATATGACTATCGTTAATATGAAAAATACATTTCAAACCATTACTTTAAGTTTAAGATTATACCAAACAACTGAATCGGAAAGTGATACGCCCTAACTTTTAATCAGTCGGATGTATCTTTGGAGTGTCTATTAATTGTTTGAAAGAAATCAGACGAGAAGTAAGAAATCAATACAGTACAAAAAAAATCGTTATTTTTTATACAAAAACAACGCTAATAGAATTTTATTAATAAATACGTTTTGTCAATTATAAACTCCAGCGGTGTTTCTCATTCATTATCATGATTTTCATTCAGTTATACCTCAGATAACCACGTCACTAGACAATTGGAGTTTACAATATTATTTGAAATCTCGAAAAAGTTTGATTTTTTAATGAATATATTTCAGGCATAATATTTTTGTAAATAATTGCACTGAATTTAATTGTTTTTATTGTTTTAAACACACATGAAAGTTACAAAGCAATGACAAGGAATATTAATGAGAAATAGGGAAGAGATACATCTATTATTCTTAAAATTAAAATCCTTCTAAATAGGGGATTATATACTGCTTAGTTCTAGAATATATCTACTGCCTAACATTTATTTATATATGTGCAATACATACATGTATGATATCTTAGATAAAATTAACAGTTTAATATGCATTTTCTTTTTGCATGTAGCAACCTACTTTGACGTAGACTAAATGTTTTGTTACTTTTAGAATATCGTAAACTCAAATGCAGGGATAATTTATGTCTTGATTTGCTTGAACTTTTCAAGACATCCTCTACACACAATTCCAAATTCTTTCTCCTTAAACGAGATAGATTTTCGATTTTTATTAAATAGTCTGGTCAAGATGATTCCATGAACAGATTGGTCATACCTATGACATGCTGAGAGTTTTGTTGGATCTTTACAGTACAGAAATTGTGCAGCATTTGGAAAATCCATGCAGCCAAATTGTAGTGCACAAGATAAAATGGGACGTAGTAACACTTTAAGCGTAAATTCAGTTCGTTTCATGAGAATCCACCCTGGCTGAACTTCTGGATAGTTAAACATACAAGGTTCTTCTTTTAAGAAGTCAAATAATTTTCGGTGTGTTCGTACAGCTATTGACCCATCTCCCTCCAGAATTTGAATCCCAGTGCGTTTTGCTCGATCAAATAATTCATTCAACTTTTCATTTAAGCGAATAGAGGAATCAACCCACATGACAAAATCATATTCTTGCAAAATGATCTGAAGAATAATTGGTTTCCAAGTATATCCTTGCAAACGTTTTACATGTGGCGGGAATTTTTCAAAAGGAAACTGCCTAACATCACAGCTACACATTTTCCGTAGATCATTTATGTGGGCGTTTGATAGACCCAAGTTAAACACTATTAATTTCAAATCTGGATACTTTTTTCGAACATGGATATTGATAGAATTCAAAAGTCCAATGATTTCGGTAAAGTGGTTTTCTGATACCCCTGATACAATCACAGGTATTGAACAATTTTGTTTTTGATTAATCAAAGTATCTATTCCATGTTGATCAAGCTGAAGACGCTGAAGATATTCATTGGGCACTGTAAATTTGTAATTTTTTACAACATTCATATTTTCTTCCATCGATGGTGAAAAACTCTTATTTCGGAAATGTTTACATGCTTCCAAAGTTGCACTTTGATGTAATTTTGACCCCTCTGTTTGAGTTGTGCGCTTTATCATGTCCTTAGCTAAATTACTTTTCGTAGACTTTTTAGGAATTTCAATAGTTTTCGGACTAGGATATGCTTTTTCTATGGCTTTTTCTTTCTCAAACTGAACACTTGATTCTGATTTCCATTTCTTCAAACATACGATCAGGACATACAGAACAACTACACATATTAAGATCTTCCGTAGATTTTTACTTCCCTTCATTCTGAAAAAAAGGACAACTTGATACATTAAACATTGTGTCAAAGTTTTACGTAGAATGTCAGAGATGTGCTATAAATTCATGATCGTCATGACAAAGGCTGTTTGTTTTCTTACAACATTGTTGTATATATGTTTATATATAGTTATCTTAAACTTGACAAGACCAGAGGAAAACTTAATTAGAGATGGAGGGTAAGTTGCAGGTAAAAAAGATCTGAAACTTACATGACATACCACAGTATTCGAAATTTCAATCTTTTAGATATCAAAGTTCAACAGCTGATTTATACGTAATACAGTATATATAGTTCAAGATTTCAGATTATTCAGACTATTGCTGCATTAATAGGAACTTTCGATAACGATCATTCAAGGTAAACAAAAATTGTACATGACATTGCATTCAGAATTATAAAAAAAGTAAATTTGTATTTAGCACTCTGTATATTCATGACATAAAATACTGCTTACTCGTAAATTGTCTGTCCACATCGAAAAGCCAAGTCGAAATTATTAGATAAACTATGTCAACTGTATAAATTTGTTTTGCAACGCATATAAATTCTTGTGATGCTTGAATGTAGAAAAAAAATTATAAAAAGAACGCTTCAAGTCTTTATCTCTCCAATTCAAATAAATTCACGATGAATTTAATTGCTTTCTACATTTAAACTTAACGTCTCATTAGTAAAGATAATTTGTTCTTTAGGTTTTGATCATTTATAAAAGAGAAAATTACAAAATGAACACTAAAATCTTTAGATTACATGTAAATGCAAAAGTAGGACTAATTTTCCACATACTAAAAAAATTTAAATAAAATATAGACACTAAAGTATCCTTTGTTCTGCAAAACATTCAGCAATAAACTTGTGCATTCAGGGCGTCCCATTTCACAGAATCTAATTAAAATTAGATATTCCGAATCCTCTATCATGTCTAAAACATCTAACTACATCCCGTTTGGGGACACATCAGAGCGACCTTTTGATTAGCCAATGAAATCGCCGCCGCAGAAATCTTAGCTCGGCTCGGATGCGTTTCCTTTTTCACAGCAAAACCTAAACGCCCGAAGAATTTCGTAGTAAACAACACTATGCATGGCAAAGGCCGTGCTATGTATGAATGTGAATTTCGGGATATCTTGTATAGTTTGTGCATTTTCGTTTGCATTATTTAGGTAGGAATGGCGGATTCAATTTATACCACAATTAACTTAAACCAACGTTAGACAGACTACAGAGCACCAATAATGCTAAGATGTAGCTTTGTAGCTAGGAACTATTTTTAGAATTGTATACAGAAGCTTGAATCTGATTGGCCAAAATTTTGTTTATTCATAATTGAAAGGTCGCACTGACGTGACTCTGTATTGTATGTTGTTAGATGTTTGAGATTCGGTAGCAGATTCGGAAGATCTAATTCTAATTAGATTGCGTTTCACAGTAGGTGATGGAACGGTAAAGTACCTTATTGCTCAATTGCCTTGAGTACCGATTATAGGTCTAAATTTAGAGCCCTTCAACTGTGTACATGTATATCGATGTCTCTATAAGACTGAAAAATTCTTGAAAGGGGCGTTAATAAACAACAAACAAACAAACAATCAGCTTTTAAAAACTAAGATTAAACGTGGTTTATCTGTAAGCTCCAAACGTGTTAAATAGGTTAAAAGATATTGTTCAGTTAATCTAATAATTTCACTCTTTATAACCAAAAGAAAAAAAAAAACAATCTGAAAAAAAATATGCCATGAAAGGATTTAACAATGACAACTCTTCTCCGCTGTTTTTCTAACGTCTCAGCTGCATTGTTTTCAAATGTAAGTTTTGGAATTCTGAACATCATTGGTCAGCTTTGTAAATCAGAGAAATAACTTTTTGAATTAAAAATATTATTCATAAATCAAAATAATTTTGTGAAGTTTTAGACCTAGTATATATTTGTCAGAAATGAAACATACATTGAGCACTTTAATTTTTAAATGAACCATAAAAATTAAAATTACCTAGTATGAACCTAGTATTATTGTTCTGAAAAAGGAAATTGCTTTACATTTGAATCATTATCTGTTTTCAATCGAAGTCTTATGAACTACATATTAAAGGAATTCGAAGGGCAAAGCAAGCCATTAATAGCAAATAATAATAATAATAATAATAATAATAAATAATAATAAATAAATAAAAAAGAAGAAAAAAATATAAAAAAAATTATAAAGTATAGAGTAAGTAATTTCATTTCTTTAAAAACGTTTCCTCTGAAAGTTTAGGTATGAAAAACAGGTTTTTGAAACTCCAGTGTTCTTGAATATTGCAAGAACGGAGATGAGGATCTTTTATTAGCAAAGAATTTCAATATGAGTTCAGTACTCGATCCAAAAAAGAAAACTTTCATAATTTTCAGAAACATTTGTTCAAGTCATATAGGCACAATTTGGTACAAGGTTGGGCTCTATGCAAAATATTGAAAAAATCATGTACATTTCTGGCCTTTTTAAAAGAAATTTTTAAGATTCAAGGAATAATACATAGAATAACGAGAAAAGTACGTAATTCTTAATAGATATGCAGTCACCAAGGGTGTTTTAATGTATTGTCAACTAAACCCGAGCAGTTTTATTTTTTCAGAAATTCACAGGGCCAGAAAATTCCTAAGTGAAACTTGTTCTTTTTTTGGTCCTCTTGTTAGTGCTCTAGAATTGCTTGATTTCAGGGATGGGGTGATTGATAAAAGTAATTGTAATTGAGTGTAATTAATTACATTTTTTCAAAGTAATTGAAAGTAATTTGTAATAGACCATTTTTCCAATTACTTGTAATTGAATATAATTAATTACAATGAAAAAAATACCCTGTAATTTCAGCTACTTTTCAATTACATTTCAATTATTTTACATAATGCATATTATGTGTATTTAATAGGAAAATATTTCCAACACAGTCACATTTTATAGTTATGTTAATTTATTCAAAGAAGTCCTTCCGTTTTTCAAAATATATAACTCTTTCATACCTCAATAAATGAATTTGATATATTGGCTTGTTTATAAGAATATTAGTTTCTTTTATAATTATAATACACATAAAGAATTAATACTAGTTTAATGTTTATCAAAAATTTTGTTCTACCTCTCATTGGTATAGGCATGTTAGTAAGAGTAACATATCAATTTTTTGTTGCTTGATTATCAAAAAAGAATAAAAATAATTTAATGTGTCATTACGTCCTGCCTTGTTGTCCTTTCAACTCCCAGCTGTAAATTGCTATCAAAACAACCCTCCAAAATTTTACACCTTGCTTTTTTAAATTCAAAGTTATGACCATTAGAGGTGATTTACTAAATACTACTAAGAATGCTCTACTATTTATATGTACATATATTCAGAAAAGAAATGAATATTAAATCACTATTTTAACATTTAAACTTTATATACATGTATGCATTTGGTATTTGTCAACATTTGCAATTTAAGGTGTTTAGGTTGCCTACCTGTAACTGAAATAATTTGAGAGTATTTTATGGTTGCTTTTAATCAAATTTCATAAAGGCAGTTAATTAATTGATAAATGTTCATGTAGACTAGAAGATTTTTGGAAATGAAACAAAAGTAATTGAAATGTATTTAATTACATTCTTCAAAGTAATTGAGAGTAATCAATTACATTAAATTTTGTAAAAATCAATATTATTGTAATTGCAAGTAATTGACGAATTTTTCAATGTATTTGAAAGTATTTAATTACATTTCAAAGTAATTGACCCCAACCCTGCTTGATTTCATATTTGTTTTTTTTCATTTAAACATAATTAAGGTCTTCCGTTTCCAACGGAAGACCTTCTACTGATTCTGATGGTTAAGATTATTCTTATTATTCTTTTTTTTTTTTTTCCTAGACGCCAACTTTGAAGCTTCATATCTTCCTCATTTCTGAACGGATTTTGTTCAAATTTTCAGAGCTTTTAGACTTTACTAAACACTCTCAGAATATTGTAATACAGTTCAGAAATTACCTTCTGTTCACGAGTTATTCCCCTTTGATTGAAATTTTTATGCCTCTGGTTTCCAGACAAAGGCTCTGAAACTGTAATAATTGGAGCACAAAACCCTTTGAAATTGAAAAGAAGAAGCATTGAAGTTGTGCACATCGGTTTTTGTTTTTTGATTTTTGCATTAAAAATGGCGCTAGAGAGGGGTCAAAAGTTAGAACGCGGAAAAGAGCAAAAATTTTGACATATTTTCCTTTATATCTTTAAAACTAAAAATATTTTGTTAAAACATGTAGAATAAAAGTTGTGCATAATAGCAGGAGCTTTCATTTGATATCATTTAAAAGGGGCTGGCCCCTATAATTAGGGATCTAGAGCCCTTGAAAGTTTTCGCTTTATAACTCAGAAACGGTAAATATTTCGATATGGCTTTCGGAATTAAAGTTGTTCTTTAACACCTTATTAATCTCATACAAATGTTGTTTTGTTCGAGTATTGCGTAATATGTCGTAATATGTAGGTAAAAAGCAGGTCCCGTAAACAGGTAAGCGTTTTCAATCGGCAAGTAAATCAGAACTCTTCATGTGTATAACTTTAACAAACTTGCAATAAATTATATACCCTACTGTATTTAATGCTAATTTTCTTCTAAATAAGGTTTTAAACGTGTTCTGTGGTTCACTCATAAATTATTTTTTACAACTTTCTTTTCTTTTTTAATTTAGATTTAAAGGGAACACGTCTTCAAATAAAGGAAGGAATTAAATGTATCTATTAATTATTCGATGCTTAAAGTTTAATATTACTTATATTAAACTTTAAGCATCGAATAATTAATGAACATTAACTACGCATTTTACCAGTTTACGTTCTCCATGTTCACCTCGATGTTATGGTTATGTAACACAACCCGCGATCCCACGTTGCCGAGGTCACCAGTGTACCAGGCACCTGCGGTCATAAGCCATGTAAACAAAACAAACATCTGAGAAGACAAATCCATTGTGTA